GGGTGCAGGTGGTGAGAGTATGCTGGGCGGGGCGGGGCTTGTGAGGTATATATGTCTGTGTGTATGGCCCTCTGTGAGTGAGTGAGTGTGTGCCTCGGAGCTTCGGCTCGCTTCTGTACCCGTGGACGAGTGGTGTGTGGAGATTTCTGCCGGATTTGGACCCTGCCGGACTTGGAAATTCCCTGGACGCAGTTACAGGAGACGTGGTTATTTGTCCCAGCCTACGTGACGATACACGGAAGCGGTCATCCCACTGGTCATCGGTCCCCTGCAGCAGCGGTGGTCAGCAGCAATTTTGTGAAGAAAAACGCCGAAAAAGGAGTTTTTTTTCGCTGCAAATTTCGGTGGTGCGTGTGTAATTTTTTGCTGGAAAAATCCTCTAAGGCCAGCCCCAAATTATCATCAGCAACGACAAGAAAAGTCGGTGCTTTTTGGCAAAAAAGTAACAGCAGTTGATTATCATCAAGGTTTTGCCACTACAACAACAAGGGAGGAGTAGCAGCAGCAGGAGCAGTAGCGACAACTACAACGAGAACGACGACCGGAACAATAGCAGCAGCAATTGCAACGATGGAGATAGAAGTACGACAGGGCAATGGTGTCTTCTACAAGGTTAGCCCATCCACTCAACCCTAATACTCGTTTTTTTCATTGAAGTAGCATTTTGATGAATTTATCCGGAAAAAAGCAAAAAAAACGCTGCTACAGGCCAGCAAAAACGCATATTATCAAGAAGTTGTTTGTATGCATTTTGTCACTCACTTTCATCTCAGCAACCAAAATCTCCTCTTTAACTTGCGCATATTTGTTTTTGTTGAAGTTAAGCACACTTATTTTTTCTTTGAAATCACATTTTGACAAGTTTTGCCAAAAAAAACGCAAGAAAAGCGCTGCTACAGCCAGAAAAAATGCATATTGCCAAGAAGTTGTCTGTGTGTGTATGTTGGGAAGCGCTTACATTTTGTCACCCATTTTCATCTGAGCAGCCAAAATTTACTCCTCAGCTCGCGCAAGTTTTCGTTGAAATCACATTTTGACGAATTATTCCGGAAAACGGACGGATTTAACGTATTTGTGGTACTGCTTATCATAAATCAAATCAGATCTTTTATGTTATGGGGGATTTGGATAAACCGGTACAAGAGGCATTTCTTTTTCAGGCACGAAGTTTGATTACCAATATGTGTAAGGGGCGTTCATTTTTTTAAGCAGCAGTTTACATGAGTTGGCACCTAGAAGAGTTTTGCAAATGTAGGGAGAATTCCTCAGTTCCTAGCTGAACAGTGAGGATCCTGTTGAGCTAGGATCTGAGGTGTTTGCGAAAGAGGAATTAACATTTGAGGTTTTGCCAAAGGAGGGATCATGTTTTGGTTGAAAGTGCCAGGCCAAAACAGAGACGGCTAAAATTTAAGCTTCTAGGAAGCAGAATTTAGCCGGTTCGATAAAAAAATCGATAGTTTAGGAACCACGGGTCCTGAGGCGCAAGAAGTACATGAAAAAAGTACGGAACTTGGTCGGGACGATGCAAAATCGGGTCGAAACGGTGCAGTGGTGGAAGTGTGGTTAAAAAAGTGGACTTTGGATCGTAAAAACAGCCAGACTTTTGCAGAGTTAGTCGCAGGGATGGTGAAATTCATGGGACTCAAAAACCAGCCACAATGGACCAAAAATCAGCGAGGGCAGTGCAAAAACCGGCTAGACGACTGCAAAAATCAATAAGTTGGGGGCAAAAACCATCCAGATGAGCGCAAAAACCAAACATAAGGGCCCAAAAAATCCGTCGAAGGAACATAAAAGCCACCGGGGGAACGCAAAAAATGACTGGACGGGTTCAAAAACCCGCCAAAGGGGGCATAAAAAACCCACCGGGGAAGCGTAGAAATCAGCTAAAAGACCTGCTCTGTTTATCTTTCCAGATTCATGGATAGCGCAAATAAAAAACTGTAGATCGATAGTATGGAGAACTGGGGGGAGGGGTGCCCTGGTCCTCAATTTCTACTTCCAAACAGGGTTTTAGTTCTTTACGATCAATATCTCTGTTTGTTTTCCTACCTACGGAGCCAGGCCATCCTAGCATGGTATTGATGACGGTTCCTTCTAGTGGGCAGTTATTCCCGTGGATGTTCTTGTTTTCAGAAATAGTAAGAGTCGTCGTGGGAGGGCCCAGCATGTGAGAGGGACCATGGATTTTCATAGAAAGTTCTGGAAGCAAGGTCAGCAGTGGTAAGGGGAAACTTTGTGGTTTGAGGAGAATTGCTGACCGTTCTTCGAAGATCTGTACTTGGATTTTAGCCAAAAAATTGTTGTTTGGCATCGAAGGTCAGTACAGGAGAGGCTTTACGATGTTCGCTCTAGTAAACCACAGTATTGGAGAGAGCCCTGGATTGCGATGGATGGCTCTAGAAACAGAGTTCAACAGCGTCAACATCGTAGCATTATGGTCTGAAGGTTGTTGACCTCTTCGAATATGTGGGACTTTAGCCAAAAAATTGTTCCTTGAGACCGAAGATCAGCGCAGTAAGAGGTTTTACGATGTTCA